TAAAATCTTGTTTTGAGATTTTGTACCACTGTTTTTATTTTTTTTCTTTCTTTAAAATAAAAATAACTGATGTCAATTTAAAAAAACATGCAATGTATTAATTATTGAAAATGTACTAGTAATCAGTTGTGAAACTGTCTCATTGCTATTTTCTCAATAAAAATATTTTTTTAAGAGAAATTATCTTTACTAGTTTTATCTGCATTTCTCTGTAAAAAAAAAAATCAAACACTGCTAAATGGCCACTTCAGTAAAAATACAGTGTTAAACCATAAGAAGGTTCACATTCTTTGGACGGGCTTGATTCCAAGGATGTCGAACCCTTTGGCCATAACTGCAGCCGCTGCTTCACACAGCAGCATCCGCCACATGTTCACCTTCAATACTTTTCCAGTCTGCCGGTCTTTCTCCACACAGTAGCAGTTGTCATAGAACTCTGTGAAAGTAGTCGCCAGCTCATAAATATAATCACAGAGTGTATGGAGGAATAAATCGTCTAAAATCTTCTGCAAAATTTCGGGAAAACGTAAAATGCATCGGCCTAGCTTCCACTTCTTTTCATGGTCTAAAATGATCTTGGTCTCCCGAGCAGCTTTCCGGAGCATCTCTTCATCAATGCTGGCCAGGCGGGCAATGGACCTGATTCTGGTGAATGCATACAAGAGATAAGCAGCTGTGTTCCCTCTGTCGTCTAGCATTTTGTCAAAGGAAAAGATATAATCATTCATCCAGTTATGGGAAAGGTCAGCATATTTGATACAGCCATAAGCAACCGATGTCTGAGCAGCTTTCAACTCCTCTGGAGTTAACACCTTGTCTCTCTCTTTTTCCTTCAGTTTATCCATAGATCATTTTAGTCCTTCCTCCAGAAGGTCTATGAGGTGCACTGTTTCACCTGAACGTGTTTTAAACTTCTTCTTGTCTTCTCCCAGCACCACACCAAATCCAGCAAGGGTCACTCGCGTTACTTTAGGATCATACCAACCCATCATTTGGGCAGCAGCAAACACTGTTTGGAAGTGCATAGCTTGTCCACTATCTACAACATAGATAATCATATCTGCTTTTTCCTCAAATAGTCTTTGTTTAATAGCAGCCATATAAGATGTGTCATAGGTGTAACCACCATCTGATTTCACTATGGTCAGTGGTATGGAACAACCTGGGACAAACACAATCTTTCTGCCATCATCCACTTGCACGAATCCTCTATCTTCAAATTCTTTCACAACATCACACATCCTATCTTGATAGAAGGATTCTCCTCTCTCTATTAAGGAGATGTCCAATGCCTCATAGATTTTATTAAACTCTTGGCGGGAGACATCACAGATAAGCTTCCAAGCTTGTGTAATATCTGGGTCTTTACTCTGAAGCCGAACAACACACTGATAAGCTCGCTTTTTAAATTCCTCTTCAGTATCAAATCTCTTCTTAGATTCCTTGTAAAAGGCCTGAAGATCCCCAATAGGTGGTGAAACGGCCAGATAATCTGGAAACTTATCTTGCAGGTGAGCAATGAGCATGCCAAACT